CAGCAAACCTTTTTATGCTGTTTTTCATTATGGTAAATAACTTGCCCATTTGTTTATGCTAAATTTTTTTAGTAAATAATTAGAAATTGCAGTGTTCTGTCTCTTGAATTTTAAAGACACCTTGACAACAGAAGACAGTGTGCACAAATTTCAGATTCTTCTAGTCTTCTCCTGAATAATCTGCAGTTCATCACTATGGCATTGCAATGTGGAGTTAACTTTGAATTTTGTGAGTTTTATATCTGTCATGAAAGTAGTTTGTGTTGGAAGGGGCATTTAAAGAACATCTAGTCTAACTGTTCTGCTATTGGCAGGGACTTTTTTCCCCTAGACCAGGTCAAAGCCCCATAGAGCAGTACCAGTGCAGTGGCATAGGTGTGTTTGTGTATATGCATACACAGTTGCACATCAGTGCTGTTTGTTTCTGTACAATTGTAGACAGCACCTCTCTGGGTAGAGGTAAAACTGCAGAGGCCATGATAGTGGAGTGGTAGTTGTACGTGATTTGGGGTCTTTCAGTTCATAAACATGTTTCTGAAAAGTATTTTTTCCATAGCTGTCAGCTGCAAATCACTTTTATCTTCAGATTCCACATACTGTAACTGTACTTTCTTCTCAGACACCAGATCTTACTACCTACACAAATCCCTAGTATAGAATAAAAGAAGTTCCTAATAACTAATATACTGATTCAGCTGGTAAGATATTTCAAAAATTTGTAATTTGAGTTGCTGAATTCTTGTACCACAGGAAAGCATTTAGGATTTTTTTATTAGGTAATGAGAAAAGAAACCCAACAGTAACAAACTAAAACCAGCATATTTTTATTGTAATCATTACTTAGGAGAAATCTTAACAGTAAAATTGCCTTTGAAGAGGTAGGTGCAGGAGACTTGCTGAGCATGATCCTTTCTGCTCATATGGTAAGGATTAGGGAGTCTGAATAAAAGACTAACATGCTGAATAACATTCTTCATCCAGCTTGTTAGTGCTGGAATAAACTATACTACTACTTCATCTGAAATATATAGCAGTAGCTCTGACCTAATTTATGAAAGTCACAATTGCTTACCCAGGAATTTAGTTTATGCATTTCAGTTTAGAATGACTCCTTCCCCAGAACATTTTTGTGAAGCGCTGGTCCTCCCCTGAGCAGCTAGCAGTGGAAGTTCTCAGTGAGTTGTATACAGAAGTGTTTTAGATAGCAAAGTAAAAATATTAAGGCCCACCAGGTGGTGCCAGAAGGCCTGATCACTGGTGGCTCTGACAGCTGGAACAGAGCTGAGAAAGTGCAAGCCTGCCACTTTCGGCAGAAATTGTATCATCTAAATGCAAGCAATACATGCAATTACCCTTCCTCTCTTTCCAAACTTCTCTACCCCTAAAGCATTTCCTCAGCAAATACTTCCTTCTGTGTTCATGATGGTAAAATTTAAATATGCTGGTTAGGAGTGAGGCACTTAAAATTGTGATGCTTGGTGTCAGCATTAATTATCATTGGTTTTGTCTGCTTGCATCCCTCTTCAGTGGATAGCAGAGCAATGAAGCTTTCACTAAACAGCATTGTGCCATGTGTTGCAGTGAAATGCATGCAATTTTATGGAAATACAGACATGAATGTTAAGTAAAATTTAAGCTAGAGAATTAATTTAGGTCGTTACACTTATTTTCATGGAGTTAAAAGCTCATATAAACATTTTAATGTTTGTAAACAATTAATTTTTTAGAAAGGGGATAAGATATTTCACAGTAAGAAGTCTGTGCATGTTGTTTTTTCCATAATTTCCCTTTATACTGCAAAACATTTTTTTTATGACTTTTTTTTTTCTGTCCTTATATCATGTCTTTCTGCCTATTTTGATACTATTTTGATAGTATGATTCCACTATTCTCAAATAGAACTGGTGTGATTGACAATTTGTAATGCTAGTGTTTTTAATCTAACACTTAATAGCCTCTGAAACACTCTGCAATAATTAGACTACTATCAGACAAAGTAGTCTTCAATTTCCACACTTTTTCCTAAAGTGTGCTTTTGTGTAGAAAGGCTTGTAAAAACAGATGAGCAACACACCTGGGCTGGTGAGTAGCAGCTCACAAGTCAAAACAATGTCTGTCTTTTAAGTGAAACCCGCAGCTGCACTGATCATGACCTGTGCTGTTGGGTGTTGAAGAAATGGGTGTCTGACAAGCAGGCAGTCGCACTTCTCTTCCAGAAGTTACTGACAGTCTGTAAAGACTCGTCTGTAAAGTTGATTTGGATGTGTCACTTTGTATCCAAAAAACCCCTACTTATGTTGGATTTACTTTAGTGTATCTGCCACTATCAACAGAACGACTTTAAAAAGTTGATTGTTTCATAGGTCATCTTACATATTGCCAAACAAGGAATATCTGCTCTTTCTACACAGAATAGGTTATTGCGACTGAGTGCATCAGAAGTGTGTTTTGGTTTTGGGTTTCCTACCTTTATGTGAAGCATGACATTTCTTGAGAGTTGCAGTAAAAGATTTTTCATTTTATGACTTAATTATCTTCTCTTTATGATTTTCTGTATTAGGATATCAAGATATTTGCATGTTGGCATTAAGTCTGATATTTTGTCATTTATCACTTTTAGGAATCCTAAGTTATACAGAGTTTAGTGTATTTGTAATCAAAGACTTAACTTACATATTCTTAAAATTCAGTGTTCTTAAAGTGCATCAATTTGTTTTCAGAAAATGAGGTTTTATGCCTCATTGCTAGTAACTTCAAAACTGTTGCTATGCAAGTGAAATGTATTGAATTCAGAATACTAGTGTTAGGAAAGCAGAGTTTCATCTTCAGTAGGGCTTTGAACTGGTAACAGTTACTGGCTTAGTTTCTAGAAAATCAGTTTAAACAGCTAGATCTGGTTTTAACTTCAGTAGCCTTGTGTCCATCCATTGGTTCAGAGAGCATAGTGAAGCACTTTATTAATTGCTAGCAAATTAATTGTGACTTTAAAAGGATTATGAATAAATTCTCTGTCTCCAAAGCATGATTTCAAATTTGGGAATATTCTATTAAAAAAACTGGTAGAAAACCATATCTTTTGTTGTGGTTTAGTTATTTTTCTATACATAACTGCATAAGCAGTGCAATCAAAATATCTAGTACTTTATATTTTCACTATGAATTGGAAATCTTGTGAGGGGGAAGTGTGTAATACTGGTGTTACAAAATACTTCCCTTGAATAATAGTTCAACAGCTTACTGTAAAAGGGTGTATTATTTTCTAAATCTGAAGATTTTTCACATTTTGTGGATTTGTGAAGGTAGTGATGGTTGGTTTATGTTTTGGAGGGATTGTTCTTTTAGTTTTGCGGGGGTTTTTAGATCAGAAGATATAATACAAGATTACAGTTACTTCTCAACTAATAGCTTTTCTGGAGGAGAATAGTTAGCTCTTGTATTTTTATGCAGTATCTGTGAGACTGAGCATGGTACTATATCACAGAAGTGCTACAGTTTTAGAGTTGGTTTTTCATAATCTGTGTGTGATGGTTCTATATTAATGTGTTTTGGTCCATAGGAGAATACATCTGAGTTCAGTAGAAAAATAATCCTTATGCTGTATTTCTAGTAAAGTAGTTAAGCAAACTAATTGTTTCCTGTTGGAATATTTTTGTTGAATATTGTTGCCATGGTAGCATTCAGCATTGTTGGGTATACACTGGTAGATTTCAGGATGAGATGAAATGTGGAAAACTGGTATGTTTCTGTAAAAAATTTTTTAATTTCACAAGTTCTTATGACTTCCTGACTGTAAATTGCTTAAGTTAGTTCTTTCTAAAATTTGCAGATTGCTCCCTACCGATTTTTCCTAGGTGTATTGCTCTTTGTTGCTGTATTGTTCCAAGAAGTAAATGGGTACAATTCATGAAAGAATTGTCAAGTGTTAGATGTAAATGCATTTTTCTGTGTAACAGTTTTACCATACCTCAAGATTTGTCACCTTTATGTTCCATTATTCAGTAAGGCGTTAGCTTAAGCTATATTTTTTCCCTTGTCTAGATCACTAGTTAGGGGCATTCTTCAGGTTTTAACCCCTGTATGAAAATTGACAACAGTTTCCAAAACTGAAGTAAAAGTGGGAAGACAGTGCTGACTCACAGATTAGACCGACCTCATCTCTCACAGATTAGCAGTGACATTTCTTAAGGAAGTGATCTGATCTCACTTGCCTCTTTTGTAAGCAACACTGAAGTAGTGAATTCTTATACATAAATGTTTCTGGCCCAGAAATGTTATTCTGAAATAAATTAACCTGTAATGCTTAGATTTTTTTCACACAGTAAAAATTTTCTGTTATTAAATCCTGAAAAATGTATTTAAAAATTGTCCTCAGTTACCTCCCTTATCTAGAGGAATGTGATGACTAAGTGCTTTAGGAATTTGATGATCTTAGGTGGAAAGAATTGCCAGAAACTTAAAGAGATCTGTGAATCATCAGATCTATGAACTATTGACCTGCTCAACAAATTGCTGGTATGAGCAGTCATTGCAGTGAAATCAGTGCTTTTAAAAGCTTTTGTGTTGCATTTTTTTCACTAGTCTTTTTTAAACTTGTGTGAGGCAAAGTTATTCTGCTATGTGAGTGGGAGCATATTATTTCTAACCAAATAGATTGGTTAGATACTTAGATTGGTACTTTAACCCAGTAAAGATAATACAGTTTCTCTAAGTTAGTAGTCATACCTCCCTGTGTTAAGCTCAATGGTTTTTAAGAAGCTTTCCTTTGTCTTTGTAATTGACATAGTGACCTGGAAATATACTGTTATTAAGAGATAAAAGTAGGAGCCCTTGTATTTGTTTAGCCATATATGTCCTATGTTGCTGAATATTTTCAGAATAATAAAATATGAAGGAATATCTTGTTGCATATGAAAACAAACATTAGGTGGGACTTGGTTAAGATGGAATATTTTTGTTTCAAAATCAAGCTACTTATAAACTTCATCTGTTTTGTTTTTCAGAGAACTATAATTGAAAAAGCATCTTCTGCATTTGAAGAAGGACAAGTTGTTGATTGAATGGTGGATTAATAAGTGGTTGTCTCATCCTAAGACTAAAAAGAAGATATCCTGGAAGTTGGAAAGAACTGGATTTTCACCCTAGTCCAGCAGCTTTGCTGCTCACTTAAACACAGATGAATGAAGACCCCATTTGGAAAATCACCAGGTCAGCGGTCCAGAGCTGATGCAGGTGAGGTATTCTTTCTGAATGGTTTTCTTTGCTTTTAATGGATGAAAAGCATTATTACTTTACTGACTTCTTAAATATGTGAATGATTTTCTGCACATGTTAATAATTTTAGATGTCAGCATTCCTGTTTTAAAAGAAAATTTGCTTTTATTCTAGAAGATCATGGCTTGAAAAGACAAACTAAAAAATTAAGTAGTAAATTTAAATGTAAATGTAGCAGTACAGATCTGACTGTCCTATTTTGTGTTGTGTCAAAAGGTATTTATCAGTGACCTGTGTGGGGAAAGCAACATAATTTTTTATCACCAACCATTGTGAATTGTAGCTTTTATGAAACTCTCAAGAAACCAACTGACAAGTGCAATTGGGAAAGCTCAGATAACTTCTAAAATACCTATGCAATAGATGATTTAGGTGCTGCCAAGTACACATTTGATTCATTGAAAAGTGGAACTGATACTGGAGGATTTCTCAGTAACCCTTTGGAGACTTTCAAACTTTTATTTTACCTGAGACTGTGTTAAAATTTGCTGTCACTTATTTGAAACATGTACTGATTCCAAAAGTAATGCAGTTATCTTTCAAGTAAGAGCTAGGGTTTCAAAGGAGAGATCCCTTGCAAAGTCTTAAATGCTTGGTTCAGTAACCAAATGGAGACAGTGATGACTGGAGCTCCTCAGGTGTCAGTATTGGGAGCAGCATTGTTTAACGTCTTATTCAGTGGTAGGGATGGTGGGATTGGGTGCACTCTCAGCAGGTTTGCTGATGACACCAAGCTGTGTGTTGCAGTCAGCATGCTGGAGGGAAGGAATGCTATCCAGAAGAACCTGGACAGGATTGAGAGGTGGGCCCTGCATGCCTTGGGATGTTCAACAAAGCCAGGTGCCAGGGGCTGCATTTGTGCTGGGGCAATTCCAAGCACAAGTATATCGTGGACAGAGAATGGACTGAAGACAGCCTTGACAAGAAGGATTTGGGGGTGTTGGCAAATACGAAGCTCAACATGACCCATCAGGGTCATGGTCACGTAGACACTCCCAGCCCCAGTGGCCTCTCACATCCTGGGCTGCATCAAAAGCAGCATGACTAGCAGGTTGATGGATGTGTTACTGCCTTTCTGGTCCACTCCAATGAGACACCACCTGGAGTTCTGCATCCAGCTCTGGGGCTCCTAATATAAGAATGGTCTGGATCAGTTGGAATGAATCCAGAAGGAGGGCCATGAAGATAATCTGAGGTCTGGAGCACCTGTCCCACAAGAACAGGTGGTTGTTCAGCCTGGAGAGAGAAGGCCTCAAGGTGACCTAATTATGGCCCGCTGTTACCTGAAGGAGACTTCAAAAATTGCCGTAGAGGAGCTATTTACAAGCTCTTGTAATGACAGGACAAGAGAAAATGGCTTCAGACGGAAAAGAGAGTAGGTCCAGAGGATGGCCATAAGTGACTAAATGGCTGGAGCTCCTCTCATGAGAAAAGGCTGAGAGTTGCAGTTGTTCAGCCGGGAAAAGTGGAGGCTCCAGGAAGTGCAACCTTTTAGTTTTTAAGTGGTACTTACAAGGAAGACAGAGAAAGGCTATTTACCAAAGCCTTCAGTGACAGTACATGGGGCAATTGTTTTAAACAGAGAGTACAGTTAGGTTTGAGTATACAGAAGAAATTTTTTACAGTGAGTATGTGTGGTGAAACACAGGAACAGGTTACCCAAATGTGAGTGGCTCCTCGTTGGAAATATTTAAGGTTATGTTCAAAGGGATATTAAGCAACTTGATCTAGTAAAAAGTGCCTTCCCCCATCATAGGGCTGAACTAGGTAAACTTAAGAGAATCTCTGAGATTACCTAGAACAGCTGTTAAAAAAGAAAAAAAGTTGTACTTTAAGAAGTAACTTTTTAATGAGATTTGTTGAGCTTTACAGCATTATGGATACAAATATCTTATTTACTGCCTTCCATTTTTAATGGTGGTTGCCGCTTTCCAAGAAACTTACAAACAGCACATAGGGTTCCAGAATAGCTACATCTTAAGTAGAAATTAGAATTTTAAGTCTTGCCTATAAAATTTCTGTTATCTGAGATTGAATAATACAGCAGTAATATAGTCTTTATCAGGAGGAAAAAAAAATAAAAAGATACAGTGAAAGAGTGGAAATAGTCTATGTATTTTATATTGGATATGTTAATAATGTAAAATAATAAAATTGTTGGATTTTAGGATCATATATGGGTAGGTAGCAAAAAACAGTCTGGAGGTTAGAGATAAACTGGTGGTAGTGTCACAGATTCATATAGGGCAAAACTTGATGCATTAACAAAGCATTTTTCAACTGGCTTTGATTTCATCCTGTTGTAGAGACTTATCAATCAGTGAAACTGCAGGTTGGTAGCATTGTTGATAAAGACAATTTTCAGCTGTCCTGTCTGTCTGCTTAAGATGGAAATGGCTTTATAGATTGTTAACTAGGTGTAAAAGAAGAGATATTTGTGATTTATAATATCTAGGCTTTTGAAATCTCTCTCTGGGAAACATAATTTTTATGTAGTTCCTTTTTGAGAAACAAGAGGTAGGATTGAAGGTGGGGCAAAGAAGGTAAGGTAGATATTTAATTTTTACAGAACAGTAGAGTACATGGCTGCAGACTCTTGGAGTTTGTCAAAGTATAGAGTTGCTTTCCATGATGTAGTTTCTGTGAATCAGACAGGTGCTCTTGGCAGTGTGCCTCCCTGTCTCTCTAATTAGTGTTTTGCTGTCCCAAATATAAGAGAAATACAGCCTTTTAAAAAGTTAATGTACTGTATATTCGACTGTAAAGTAAGATGTGATTACTCTGTGTTAACTCAATTGACACTTCTAAATCTAATGATCACCTGTATAGTGCTGTATAAGTGAAAGGCATGGTCCTCTGGAGTCTTTCTTAGCAGTGTTGTTCCAGAGATACAGAATCCTAACTGCATTGTGATGCATACATATCCTGCATGCATACAAATCCTGAACTGCATTGTAATGGGTTAATTTCTCAAGTTTGTTCATCAAGTCTATTAAAAAAAAAAAAGGAAAGCCGATGAAAGACCACAAGATAAATGTAACAGGCTAATATGTTGCAAAATGTCATAAGGCTTAAACTGCAATATGTCACAAGCTAGTATGTTGAAAAGCTGAATATGCAATATGTAACTACATGCAGCCACACACCTATATATGGTAAAGGCTATTGCCGGGTCATCAAAACTCTGAGAGAGAGGACAGGAGCCTTCCTCCAAACAACCACCAGAAGGCAGAAAAAGACCCCTAGCAACTACTGGCGCAGACGCAGGAAACACCGGAAACTACGGCACCACAATAGATAAAAGAGAGGCCTGAACCGCCGGGTGTGTGTGAGCCCTTGGTGGAGCGGAGACTGCCTGGCTGCACCCAGTGCTGTAATTTGCCTATTATCACTTGCTCTGTCAGTTAATAAATTACATTTCATTTGGACTCACTTGTCGGTGATTGCTTCCTCACCACAAATCATAACATGCATGATGGTCAGGAACAATTGTAAAGCCTTTACTAGATGTTTTGAAAACAAAAAAGTACTCTCTTAGTAAAGAAAACTTTTAACACATATATGGGCATATAATAATTGAATCATATATGAGCATTTGTAGCTTTTCCACTTGTAAATCAAGTGTAAATTGTTTCAGTATTGTCTTTATTAGCTAAGAAAAGAGAACATGGATGTGAATTGCTTAGAATTGCAGTGAAATCTTTTGTGCAGAGTTAGAATTTGGCTTATGTCTGTACTTCTGACCTACTTCAATTAAAAGACCTCCCTTCTTCAAACTCATAAGTTGAGGTTGAGCAATACCAGGTGTGAATCAGCACACTGAAGTGTTTCTTAGGTCCCTGAAAGTAATTCTGAAATAGTCTCCAGATACAGAGTGGAATTACTGCTGTTCACACTGATGATTCTGGAATACAACTTCAAAACATCTAGGTTTTGCTGCCTGTTGTAAACATAGGAGATATTCAGAGAAGTAAAATATGGTTGCTGTTTTCTGGAGAGCCTGTCTGATTTTCATGGATTGCATGGAGGGTACTAACTCATGTCACAATAGCAAAACATTGCCAGTAACTTTCTCCTATCCTTCTTCTTTCTCCTATCCTTCCTATAGCCCCAGCTGAAATGATGTGTATATTTCCCTTGAAGCCAACATCCTGAACAGTTATTTTTTTAGTCTTGTCATACCCTATTTCTTTATCTTTGTCTGGAGTAAAGTTCAGAAACATGATTTCTAGTTTTGCTGTTGAATTTTAAGGGTTTAATGGAAGGGGTTGAATTAATGAGCCTCAGAAAACACAAGTATGACAAAACACCATATGACAGTTGAATTTTTAATTCTGCTGCTTTTATCTGGAAGCTGGAGTTTGTGGTCAATTTCTGTTACAAAAAATATGTTTCCATGCTCTTAGTCATAAAAAAATAAAATAGTTTTATATGAAAGGAACCTTTTAAAGGTCATTTTTTTAAATAGAATATCCACAGTCATTACTATGCCCCAAATTTGAAATCATGCTTCAGAAGACAGAAAATTTATTCATAATCCTTTTAAAGTCACAATTAATTTGCTAGAACTTAATAAAGTGCTTCACTGTGCTCTCTGAACCAATGAATGGACACAAGGCTACTGAAGTTGCAGTGAAGACTTGGACACTTCCAGGGATGGGGCAACCACCAACTCTGGGCAACCTGTGCTAGTATTTCACCACATTCAATGTACAAAAACTTCTTATAGCTAATCTTCTCCATTTTAAAATCATTACCTTGTGTCCTGTTGCAACAGGCCCTTCTAAAAAGTCTGTCCATATATTTCTTATAGGCCCCCTTCACGTACTAGAAGGCTGCAATAAGGTCTCTTCAGAGCCTTCTCTTCTCCAGGCCAAACAATCCCAACTCTCAGGTTTGTTCATACAGCAGGTGCTCCAGCCCTCCAGTAATATTTGTGGCCTTCTGTGACCTGATTC